CTTCTGGTTAGCAGTCAGATGCCTTAGGCACTACGCCATCAAACCAAACCTTGTACAGAGTAAACTCTCTTAGGATTACTTCTTGTAGACCAATTCTAGCACAAAGGAACTCAGCACCAAGTAGGTTTTCCAGTTTCCTTCCTGATCAAAGGCTGGTTTAGTTTCAGGGCTTTTATATACTCTTCTAAGCTGAGGCCAAAGTCTAAACTTCTCACAAAGGAAGTTACTCTGGTCAAGAATTTTATATAAAGATTCTCAGTAAATGTACAAGCTCACTGAAAAACAAATGTGAAGAGAAAGGAAGGAACAATGTCTAGCTTAGTCTCTTTTTGAAAAGAAACTTATCAGAAGGCTCACTTGGGAGACTTCATATTTCTCTAATTCCATGATATTTACGTTTTTCAACAGTGAGTCAAAGTCTTCAAAGTGATCAGCACTTTTACTTCAAGTTTATTTTGATTTACCTAAGCACCTCATAAAATTACAATTGCTCCAAAAGGCAACCCTGAAGAAAGAAGTGTAAATTCATGAAATCCCCACCCTCAAAACTTCTCTTTACAGTGAAGGAGTGATGAACGGTAAACATCTTTTGACTATTACACTAGACTTTTTAGACTTTTCAGCATAAGGAGCACAAATGACAAAAACTGGGGGATTGCAAAAGAATGGAGAGACAACGGGCAGCTCACCCTCTGCTTCTGCTCTTCTGTGCGGACGTCACTCCGGACATTTGCCCAGGGGATGTCATCAGGCCACCAGATGGGCTTGCAGCTTTCTTTCCCCCAGCCTGGTTTTCCCCGGCCTGTAGAGTACTTGAGCATCTCTGGGATAAATGCCCGAAGCTGGGCCTGGAAGATGAGAGTGTAGACATCAGTAGCCATGAAAGACATCAGAGATATGTTTAAGCCACACCACATCCCACAATTATACTGAAAGAGCTTTCCTGGGGAGTCCTAGAGAATTCCAGATGTGACTGATCAGAAACCACTGTTTTCCAGAGGTTACTATAGGTCCCTGAGTGACTAAGAATTATACAGAGTGGTAACATACACCTTAAGCTGCATTTCATAGACTTATTCCTGTAAGATCAAGAATACCTGTCCCCAAGTTTGATTTCTGCCTCCTAATATATTACTGGTACTATACCTTATTTCCCTTCTATGGTTTCTATGCATTTAATATATAATAAGCAAAGTCAAGGTGTTTTCAACATTGTTCTAGAGGTAGTAGCTAATACAACTAGATAAGAGAAAGAAATAGGTGAGGCCCAGGAAAGTCATCATTGTGTATAGAGGATATGCCTGTATATCTGGAAAGCTCCAAATAAATGTAAAACTACTATAAACAATGTGGGAATGCAGTAAGAGAGTTGGTTACAAAATATATAAAAATAAATCGACTTTCTATTTAATAAAAAGAGAAAGTAACCCTAACACTCTTCTCAGAAGTTTCTAGTAGGCTAGGCCAATGTCCCTGGGTGTGACATACAGATATAGTGAACCATGCGTGATCTTAAGCACATTATGGACTTTATTCACATTTATTTCACAAATCAAATCCAGGTCGAATAGATTCCAACCACAGAGATAACTGCCACGTTTCTTTACCTCCCAGTACAGTAACTACTCTATGTGTGGGGGGGCATTTTGTGAATGTTCTTAACTGCTAACAATGATTTTTGGCAAGAGAAGCAATTTGTCAAGTTGTAATATTAAAACAAGGACCCCTGGTGGTGCAGTGGTTAAGTGCTCAGCTGCTAACTGAAAGGTGGGCAGTCCAGATCCACCAGCTGCCCTACAGGGAAAAGATGCAGCAGTCTGCTTCCATGAAGATTACAGCCTTGGAAACGCTATCGGGCAGCTCTGCTCTGTCCTACAGGGTTGCGATGAGTTGGAATCGACTCAACGGCAATGGGTAATGGGTAATCTTAAATTCCTCCCTGGGCCCACTGCCTTCCTTTAACCTGGTGGCCCTTTCAACACTCCAGAAAGCAGCAGCATTCTCAAACTAAGGACTCATGCCTCTGCAGATTAAGACCAAAAAGAAAGGGTACTTTAGCAATGTGGCAGAGTCAAACAGAAAAGGAAGGAAACACAAATGGGAATATGTAATGAGAAAATGAGTATGAAAGCATTTTTTATATTGAAAATCCTATGTGTCAGGTGTTCTGATAACATTATTAAACCAGAAGATTGCATAAGTTGTTACACAGTAGGGCATCATGCACCCACATCAGTCGAGTTCACCTAAGAAAGATGGCTCTGACTGACTGTTTATCTCGTCCATTCTGGTGGAGAGCGGCCCCCTTCACCTCCCTAGTACTCGCTCTGCCAGACGGTCTCCTGCCTGCAGGATATGATACAGTACGTTCCATATATATCTGGCTCCACCCCATGCAGCAGCAGCTAAAGAGATGTATCTATTTGTAAACCCAGGCTATCAGCTGGCTCCTGAGGTCACTCTTTCAGTTATTTTAAGAGAGTGCATCTCAAAGTCATTTTTCTCTTTATCTTGGCTTCTCCAGAGTATCATTTTCTAGCCTCAGATACACAGAGAAGGAAAAGGCTTAATCCTTATGCATAATATTTATGTTTCTTCACATAAAAAACAATGGCTTTCTCAGATACATAAATAAACCGACAGCACAGACTTTTTATAAGCTTCCTTTTCTTTTAACCCCATTCACAGTCTTGAACAGATTCATACCTAGCAGAGTCTGGACAAAAGGAAATAAGAAGGCTAAAAATATGTCTACATTAACCAGAGACTAAAGCACACAGAATTGGATCCGACTCGACGGCAGTGAGTTTGGGTTTTTTTTTTTTTTGGTTAAAGCAGACAGAAAGAACTCACTGCGGAGAACACGAGGCTGACAGTCTGCTTGAATCTCACTTGGAACCCCCAAAATTCTCTCCTTCTGACGATTTGCTCAGCTCCTGCTCCCTTACCCTATTTGCACCAATGGTTTCCAATGCTCTTCAGCTCTGGTCACCAGGGCACCTGGCTGTGGCCATCTGCATCCTCAGCCTTGCTTTGGCTCTGTGGTACCAGGCTTTCTGCTGTGTTTTGTAACTCACAGCTTACAGAAAATGTGCCACAGCATCAGCCCGCTGGCTTAAATTCCCACCCTCCTCTGTCTCCAACCATTTCTCTTCTCAATTTCCGCCTAGCCAGTAGAAACCTTTCCCCAGCCACCTCAGCTCAAAACTTCTGTTACCTTTCCACCCACTCTCACTCACTGCAAATTCAGTTTGTTCCTTTGAAATGTCTGTGGTGATCACTCCTGCTTTCTCCAATCCCACTCTCTCCCCTGCTTCTGAGCCAAAGGCTAGTTGGCTTTCTTGCAGAACTCAGGCTCTGCCCTCTCTTCCTCATCCCATGGAACCTTGCCAGATGGACCTTCCTAAATGCTATACATGTCTCCAATGTTCAAAAGCTTCAAATGGCTTTTATCCACTGGCTACTAAACTAGACTCCTGTCCCGCTTTTCAGGCCCACCCCAATCTGGCCTAACCCTACATTTAGCTCCCACTAGCTAACCAGAAGGCTGGCGGTTCAAACCCACCAGCCACTCCTCGGAAGGAAGGTTGGGCAATCCTACTTCCGTAGTGATACTGCCTTGGAAACCCAAGGAGGGGTCGCTATGAGTCAGAGCCGACTCGACGGCATATAACAACAACAAAGCTTCCACCAGGGAGCTCTGGTAGCATAGTGCCTAAGGCACGGACTAGCTAACCAGAAGGCTGGCGGTTCAAACCCACCAGCCACTCCTCGGAAGGAAGGTTGGGCAATCCTACTTCCGTAGTGATACTGCCTCGGAAACCCAAGGAGGGGTCGCTATGAGTCAGGGCTGACTCGACGGCACATAACAACAACAACAACAGCAACAACAAGAAGCTCCCACCAGGGAGCTCTGGTGGCATAGTGCCTAAGGCACTTGACTACTAACCAGAAGGTTGGTGGTTTAGATCCACCAGCCACTCCTCAGAAGGAAGGCTGGGCAATCTACTTCCACAGTGATACCGCCTTGGAAACCCAAGGAGGGGTCGCTGTGAGTCGGGTCTGACTCAATGGCACGTAACAACAAGAACAGCTCCCACCAGACAGCTTTGGTTTCCGTTCAGCAAGTCTGCACTGTCTTGGGAACTGTTAGCACACTCCTGCCACCTCTGTGGCCTTACCTGATTTGTCCCCTTGCTTGTCTACTTTCTCATGCTACTATACAAATGCCACTACTCATTCATACTTGGTGCCTTAATGCCACCAAGTCCTACATTCCTCATGAGACAGATCTTGACTACTTCTCTCAGTCAGCTCCTGGTGGTACACATTAAGAACACAAGTTCCAGACCTTGAGTTACCTCTGAACCTGTCTTTCTCTGAACCTCAATATCCTCACCTGTAAAACGATAGTAATAATACCCATTAAACAGGGTCAACTGAGAGGATTAGACCCAGCAGGGACAAACACCATTGTATTGAATCAGGAGTGGCTTTATTCTTATTGCTTTGGTCATCACTTTTTCCAGCAACCCCTACAGCTTTTACCATAAAATTCAAAGCTTAAAAATTACAGACAGTCCAATTCTCTGATTATTTCATGTAAGTTTTGACAATGCAAATAAAATAATTCTGATTTTATGAGAAAGTATATTCTTATACTCTTTTTCAAAAAAGGTGCTTTAACCATCTACTCTCCAAATCCTTTAAATATAACGATTCCAAATGTAAAACAAAGAAAGATTCTGCAACAGCATGACTTTAATTCTCTTACAGTTTCTCTCAAAAACTAAATGTATCTATTTGCCAAAAAGAAATATTTCAAAGATAAATGAGATTTTATTTTTAAATCAGAGAAATTAAGGAGTCTACTCTCCCAAATGGCTTTTGACTTGTGGTGTTGGTGAAGGGTACTGAAAGGACCGTGGGCTGCCAGAAGAACGGACAGATCTGTCCTGGAAGAAGCGCAGCCAGAACGCTCCTTGGAAGCGAGAATGGCCAGACTTCATCTCACATACTTTGGTCACGTTGTCAGAAGGGACCATTCCCTGGAGAAGGATATTAGGCTTGGTAAAGTGGAGGGTCAGCGAAAAAGGGGAAGGCCCTCAAACGAGATGGACTGACACAGTGGCTGCAATGATGGGGTCAGGTATAGCAAGGATTGTGTGGCTGGCACAGGACCGGGCAGTGTTTTGGTCTGTCGTACACAGGGTCTCTCTGAGTCAGAGCCAATTCTATGGCACCTAACAACAACTCTCCCAAATCAAAGAAATACCCAGTTTTTGGAAACAGTTTCTTTAAGAATGAACACACTGTGGTGATTTGCATGAAGACATTCATTCTTAAGTTTCTAAAGATGGGCTACAGTGGGACTAAGAAGGCAGGAGGCGCAGGAATGAGTTTATATGTACCTGTATAAACAGGGTTGATGATGAGAACTAAAGATTGTTAGAATGAGAAGGAGCCCAGATGACCGTGTGGGCCAGTACTTGCCTTGAGGAAGCAAGCCATTACCAACCCATCTCCAATGTCCAGGGAGTTTAAGTAAGTTGTTCAGCTGGATCCTTGAGTATTTAAAAAATGTATAGGCAGATTACTAATGGAATCATCAGGAAATGGGTCTCAAGGGCAACCATAATTAGAGAAGGAGAGAAGCAGGGAAGTCTTGATGATGTGTCATGGACTAGAAAGCTTTGGATGTGAAATGTTTCAGATGGCTAGGAAGAAGACAGCAGAGGCTGATTTGAGAGGCAGGAGCAATGGAAACAGCACAAAGGGAAGGTTAAGTCCACAGGTGGAAATCTGACAGGTCAAAAAATAGAACCAAAACAAAATTAACTGCTAGGAT